TGTAATAAGACTACTGTAACAATAACAGCAGTAACCCTTGTGTTTTCCTACCAAGCATAAACTATAGTTACAATATTTACATTTTATTGTTATGTAATATACCATTCTAGTTACAAAATAAAGTTTATTTTTCCACATCAATTGTTTACATCCAATATTTAATATTAGAAGTCATACATCAAGTACTTTTACAACTAATACTAGCTTTATGGAATTGATTGTCATACATCTGTTTTGCTTTTCTACAACTGCATTGGCCATCAGCACATGTTTTTGCAACAACACATTATCTGTCAACTGCTGCTCAATGCGACCCCCACTGGCTTTGGGCTCTTGCTGTCTTTCTCAATGTTACTTTTTTTCTGTGGTATATTACCCAGCCCAGGAAACTCTGCTGCTTCCACTAATTCAAGTCATAATAACATTTTATTTTGATTAGGTTATGGTCATCCCTAATGTGTCAATTGATAGTGGAAATAGGATGGTGACTATAGATTCAATTTGAAAGCCCATTTTCCTTTTGAGAGAGGAACTACCTCCCTCTGCATACCAAGTACTTATTATATTAGTTTTGGACAAAAAAAAATTGTGGACATACATTTGATTATAGGCTGTAAGTTTCTGCTTTATTTTGTCAGAAAATCGTCAGCATTTTCATCTATATTAATAAATGCAATTGTACAGTACATATGATTGTTCTGTTTCACATTCTTATTTATTAATATGACAACATGTACTATTTAGTTTGAATTGTTCTTCTATAACTATTGATCATATAACAGCAAAGTTACCATATAATTTGATATTCCTGTGACAATGGTCATACTAACAACGGAAATTAATATTAATTAATAATAGTAATAGGCTGTTAAGATGTTTATTAAAACATTATAACAAGAGCAAGAACATGACAATTATAGACAGCAACAATAATATTAACAAGGTATTAGTAAAAACAACAACAAAGGGATTGGCATTTCCATGTAACATCAGAAAGCAGGGTAGGGATTCATATGATAATGGCTTTACATCTGAACAAAATACTAATATCAAAAACATAGTTTATGCTTGGTAGGAAAACACAAGGGTTACTGTTATTGTTACATTAGTCTTATTACATCACTCATAGCATTTATCTGCTGATTGAGATAATAATAAGAAAAAAGTTTAGGCACCCTTCTCAATTTTGGGGTACTTTGACGGGATTTATATGATGACAGGATTTATGCATGACATATACATCCTTGGACAGAACAAAGCATATACACGACCGAAATATCATGACGATAATGTTATCTTTTGTATTACAATCTAACCTTCTATGTCACATTTCACATGTCACCACTCATATTCAAATGTCATGGGCTGCTAACGATAACGCCTACCACATTTGAATAACAGCATAGCAATTAAGCAGTATGTATTCAGCAAGCGAAAGTTGCAATCTGTATTCAAGCTTTACGTAAAAGTTGTGGATTTACTTCACAAAAGTTAACCAGAGTTATTATTATCTTACGATATTTATCTATTAGGCGGAATATTATTTTCAACAAGCTCAGCATAAATTTTGATAGCATTTTGTGGGATAAAGTTGAACGTTGTATTAGGAACAAAACGACACTAGATTGTGTATACTATAAAGCTAAGGAAGGAGGTAAAGCTTTTTTTCCCTTGTAGAAAGACGATTGCCTTATGTATTAATTAAGTCGGATACGTAAAACTTATAGAAACCAGTCTGCAATTTATTCTCTGCTCTTACGAAACGGCACGTGATGAAAATGTAATGTAATGCACTCTGACAATCAACATCTGTAATACTGTAATACGGAAAAATCTCACCCTATAAATATGCGATTTACTTCAATCGGGACATTTGCTGCTGCATATTTGGTCATCAAAGGACAGCATGTATAATACGACCAGGTAAGCTTATGAAATTTTCACAAGTTGCTGCGTGTATCGAGAAACTAATAAACCGCATTCTTGATGACCAGCTTGCCATATAAAGTCATTTGATGACCAGTAGTAGGTAAGCTTACGAAGCTTTTACAAGTTGCTGCACATATCGAGGAACTAATTAAACGCATTTTACAGCCTTACCTTTACTTTTGCCAACAAATATGCATCAACAAATTACCGAGGAGTCTTTAGACCTGATGTGTCTTCACATAATCCGACCAGTAGTCATAAGACTTCAGTGAACTAATTATAATGTTGATGGTGTATTGTTGTGACGGGTGTGTTGTCGTGGTGCGCTGGTAGTGGTTGTTTTTAGTCGGATTAAACAACCTTCAGGATTCAGTCAGGTGGTTATTATGAAGAAATAATATAACATTGATAAGGTATGACATTGTCGATTGTTTATTCAAGTCAGTTATTATAACGAAAGTATTAAATGACATCCCTCAAACCCTTATATGCAGATACTTGCTGTGCGTGCAAGCGAGCAACGTACAAAGTTATATAGTTTATCCGCAGCCCAATTATATCGCAATTTTATGCTTAATAGTAAGCACGATTTATATTCATCGAAACGGGACAATCTCATAAAAATTCTAACGATTACAAATGATAATCTCTCTATAAAGAACTAATTCGAGCTCGCATAGCGTACTATAATAATTCTGCAGCCCAGTCAATCTCCGATATTAGACGACTTTCCGCAGAGAGAAGGTAGCTTCGAACAAATGAGTTTGCACGTTGCACACATTACATGTATATGTTCTAATGAATTATTCTTTTGACAATTAGTCATGCATATCATATAAATTAATAAGATTTAAGGAGGGTTGACTTTCGAATATTGAGTCGACCCCAGTAAACCGTAATGTATGAGCGGAGCGGAAGTAAATGAATCTGTGTTTATGACCACTATTTCGTATATATAGAATACTAGTCAACAGACTGATTCTTTGGTACACTCACTGTCGGCACGGATCCAAAATTTGCATACCCACATGTCGTTAAAGAGGACGGTACATCAAAAAAAGAATTACGTATATACGCTATCGGAGACCTGATATAATCAATAGCGTATACGTGGGAGAAGATGGAAAGAATGGGGAAATAACTGCGTTAACGGCTGGAAGATGTGGAAAGATCGTGACGAGTTTGTTGTGTTTGCTGCAGTAATACAAATAGAAGCAATGCAAGATAAGAAGAAAAAGTTGATTAGTGGAAGAGTGCATGAAAATAATTCTCAGAGTTATGTTCGTAAGTTAATAGGGAGTATATTAGGAATGGATATGGAAAAAGGGACTGGTAGGGTAATGAGAGATTAGTATATAGAAGTGTTGCGGTCGGTGTATTCTTTGGGTGGGAGAGCCAATGATCTGTCGCGTAGGTGTGTTCACCGACAGGGGGATG